GAAGAGAAATGAGAAATGAAACAACGCAGTGCATGTTTGTAAGACGATGTGAGCTTAAGAAACCATGGGGAGGGAAAAAGAAGTGCTCAGGAGAGACTTCCCAGTAGTGTTGCCCTGGTTTTAGCACAGCTGTTCAGAATAGGGCTGACACTAAATCCAAGGTTTTATCATCTTTTTTGGAAACTGTCAGTCGAAAGGATGTGAGGTTATTGTCAGCTACCAAACCTGAGCATTGAGGGTGGTATTGTGGCATTTACCTTCAGGCACCTCATAGCTGTATCTTGGGTATTTGTCTAGGCTTGTCCCGGCATTAGGAGAAAAAAAACCCACAAGTATTTTGAGAGGTTGTTCTTTCCTACTAGCTCCTAAAAGCCTTGCAGAGTAGCATCTCCTTACCTTTCTGCACAAAGGAGTGATGGTGGTACCAAGCTTTCAAAAGTACACAAACCTTTCAGTACAGCACAGCATTGGTGGCTTTTATCTCACGTATTTTGATGTGCTAACATGAGGTGTCTACACCTGAGCAAGCTGCTGAGGAGAGTCAGCAGCCTTTGGGCAGATGGGTTTGCATTTAATGGTAAAACAGGACCATGAGAGAAGTAGAGTTTATATTAGGTCCTTGCATGACAGGGAGAGATGGCAGATTGTACTGAAACACCAGCAAATAAATAAACACCAATATGTGAATTTTAAAAACGTTTTCCAGGCAGAGCATCCTATTAGCTAGAGTGAGACCTTTCAGTCAGACAAGCTGCAGCTGCTCTGTGGCCCATTCAGCTGGGAAATGGTGGCCCAAGGTGTTGGCAAAATTGATTGTTGCCCGCCGCTGGAAGAAATCATACCACCGGTGTTGCCTTTCTGCTTGGGGTAAATGTCATGGATACCGCATTGTCATAGCTGAATCCCCGAGTTAGCTATTAAAAACCTGGTACTGGGTGCAAGTTTGGTCATTTGCTGATGCCGATAACAGGAGGGCAATCTTCCCTCCTTCCCCTGCCAGTGCAATTTCCAGTAATAATAATTACTATTATTGCAGCTCAGTGTCAGCACCGTGATTCAAAACCTCACCAGTCCAAAAGCTAAAACCTTTCCTACAATGGTGAGTCTGAGTGTGCCCATTTTTATGTATTTGGTACTTTCTGGTGAATGTGCTATCTACTTCAGTTCTGTTCTCCTCCTGCCCCTGCTTCCTCAAACACTCACAATCTAAGCTGTCCAGTGACAACAAATGTAAGACATGCAAATTAATGCCCAGGTCCAAAAAACCTCATGTACTATAAACCTAAAATTGTGGCTATTCTTGGTTGGATTACTTTCATTTAAAGGAGCCCTTTCTGAGACCTTGAGTTTAGCTCATAGGTGACCTTTATGATCTATCAGAGCAGCAATCCAAGTGTGGTTAAAGACCATAGACACTGACTGGTCCACAGTCCAGTGGAATTATCAGGATAGTTTTCATAGCTTCATTTAGATGCTGGATGAAATTTCATGGTTTGTCCAGTACTTTGGAGCTATTACACTAGCATTATCCAAGGAATAGGTATCTCAGTGGAAATAGAAGAATTAAATATTTCTCCACACTGACATACAACCAAGTTCCCAGTTGAGCATGGAAAACATTCCTCATCTTCTTAATAAGAACGTTATTGTTTCATGTTTTCCTCAGCTGTTTCCAGTATGGAAACATAGAAATGCCCCTAGAATCTCATGAGTCTGGGCAATGCTCCTACTGCAAATGGACTGACTGTGGTCAAGGCACGAATTTTCTAAAAACTTCTATTGGCACTAACATTGTGGGAAGGGAAGCAGAGGAACAGGATGTCCTTAAAATAGTTGAGCACTCACTCATTTGCCTCGAGGTAATTGGTGGCACATGGAGATGAACTACAGCAATAAGTCCTTGTTACTTTACGAGGGTAGTAAAATCAGAAGTAAAACATCACTACTCAGACAAAGAATTTTTATAATTTCTCCCTATTTCCAGACACAATAGGAAGAGAAAGAGATAGCAATGACTGACAGAAGAGGAAGGGTTTATCTTCCCTGTTGTTAGGGCATAAAACCAGGCGTGTAGTCACCAAGATTTCCTTTCTAGATTTCCAGGTTCTTCCTCACTGGAAGAGGCTACTCCTTTCACCTCCTGAAGATGTAGCAGAAATGGCCATAAAATTCAGTAATCCCATTTCTTCTTTTTCCAGGTGGCATGCTTTCAGACTAGTTTCCAGTCTTTAAAGTTACTGCCATGTGTTTGGTTTGCCTTGGCTAGCCGCTGGACACCCACCCAGCCCCTCTCTCACTCACCCTCCTCAACAGGACAGGGGGGAAGAAAATGAGACAAAAAAGCTTGTGGGCTGAGATAAAGACAGGGGCTCTCTTATCAATTAACATCACAGGCAGAACAACCAGTTGAAGCTGATTTGAACCTGAGCCATAGCTCTCAGTGGCACACCACCGCTGATATCTTTGGTCTGCCCAGACCTTCCTTTGTCTTGGCGAATGAACGTTCATATTGGTGGATATCTCATCCTGATGAGGCACTGATCCAGCCTGCAGTTTCCCACCAATGCTGCCCGTCCCAGCTCTGCAGCTTCTCTGATCTGAAGCAACATTTCCCGGTGCCTGACACTGTCTCAACGCGGGGATGGGTAGTACAACCCCACATTTATGTTTTTATTACTAGAGACTTGGTTTTTCATACAAAGGGCTTCTGAGTGCTTAGAAGCGCATGGCGTCTCACCCTCTCTTTACCAACCTTCAGGTTGTCTTTTTGACAGAAAGTCATTGAGCTAATTGGCGTGCTGTTGCACACCAAGGGACCCAGCCACCGAAACGGTTTAATAAGGCCCTCGGGTAGCTGCTTGGGGTTTGGTAATGACCCAGTTCTCACAGGCCCAACTCCACTAGCGGAAAACCACCTTTTGCCTATGTTTAGCACCCAGTATGTTACAAGAGTATTTATATGTTGTGCTGGGATGGGATGACTTTAGGGAGAAGGAAGATGTGGGAATCACAGAGGTCGGTTCAGAAAGTGTTGGAGGTGTTGCCTCATTGCATCTTTCTGTCTAAGTGATAGATGGAAAACGGGACATTGATACGATCACAGTAAAATTTACCTGTAACCTGTCAGGAAAAGAAAAATCACTTGAAAACCTCCTGAAACAAATTTCTATACAAGAAGAAACTTAAACAAGAGCAAACAATATGGCAATCACGAGCAGGATGAAGAAGAGCGGAACAATGCCCTGACCTGTCGGATGAATAACTTGAAACAGATTTGGAATGAATGATTTGAAATGTTTCCAGACAACAGATGCCATGGAGTTCAGACTTGAAAGTTTGTGTTGTATCAACATTTAGTACCTGGGTACAGTAGCAACCACTTTTTCCTTTCCTTTGCTTATTATCTTCATATCAGCCATGGCATACCAAAGCACATGTGTGTGGTTGTGTTTGTTTATGTGAAAGGCAGAGAGAAATGCTTGGCAATCTGTTGAAAAATATACAGAAAAATGCAAATACTACTGTGACGTTTTGGTCATTTGGATCCTTCAAGGCAGCTTCATTTAATGTTGATTGCACCGAGACATCTAGCATGGGGCAGGTATCTGCTCTCCATTTATACTGAAGGACAGATGCACTGTCTTCTATGGCATAAGTCACCTCAGTGTAGTGGAATGATCTAAACAAGGTAAACCGAGTCGTGCCTTTAAGGTGTTTATTCCTCTTGACTGACTACACAGGGAGCCAGAGCTGTTATGCACAAACAGTGGTGCCTGTTCTGCAGGTCTCTGTCTAGTACGTCAGGGATTGCTATAGACAGTTCATCCCCTCTGCAGCTGGGCCAGCTCTGGAAGACTGCCGAGCCCCTGGGAGAGGAAAACAGTGGGATCTTTTCTAAACTAGAGCTGTGACTTGCAGGCATATATTCTGAATTATGCAAGAAGCAAACCTGTTTGATGGGAAAGAAAAACGGGCTTTGAGAACTACCAGAAAGTGGTAGAGAATAGAGCAGGACCTGAGGAAAGTGCTCGGGTATTAGCAAAAGGCAAGAGGCATATATGAAAAACAGACACTGCTTTCTTGGTAGTAATCTCCTGCTTGCTGACTTACAAACTCTAAGGCAGAAACAAGCAGCTAAAGTATTTCCTGGTGTGACTGTACATGAAAATGAGCATTCCTCTGCTGGTCACATCTGAACCTCCACAAGACAGTGAGTGTATCTGTCCACTGAAGAAATTTAAAAATTACTCGGAGAGACAAAGGGGTAGAGAACCTGTGCAGAATTTTGCAGCTCCTGCTACGTCAGAAATCACGATTTCTTCAGGAGAGCATGCTTTGTTAACAGCAGGCCTAAGAGAGCACTCAAGCTACTGAACAGCTGCTAACTCAATGGAGAGGAATACCTGTGAAGAACCTCTCAGACCTGGTTTCTGTGCACGTATTTCTAGTTTCAGAGCGGACAAGCTAACTGCAGAGCCCTTTTGTCAATTTAAAGGAATGCAATTAGGAGCAGAACATGGAAGAGCTCATGGTTGAGCATTGTGTAGACATGATGCTTGAGCACGGCAAGCATGCGCTTCCATCGTGGCCCTTTAAACTCCCAGCAGGGAAAAGGACAGTGTAGAATTTTTCCAGCACTTGTGGCTCTTGTCTTGTGAGAGTAGGGTGTGATTCCACCCTGACAGAGCACACACCTTGTCACACCAACTACAAAAAACAGTGGTCAGACTGAGCTCGGGGGTGAGGGTCAGTGTGGAGGGGCCAGAACCCTGAGAAGGGAGTGGGAAGGCAGGAGAAGAGAAGCGGACAGTGCTCTTTGCAAACACTGCTCTCCATAATTTATGATGTGACACTGTGCTGTCTGTAGCAGGCAGAGCAGCAGTAAATGCCTCCTGCTCTCATCATCCATGAACCTTGGAGCTGTAGCGCATCCCTTTCTCTTCCTGGTAAGCCCGTGACTTCACCCCCACACCTGGGCTCCGGGAGTCTGAGCTGAAGCAATGGCACTGGGAAACTTCTCCCGGGTGACTGAATTCGTCCTCCTGGGGCTTTCTGATAAAAGGGAGCTGCAAGTCCTCTTCTTCATCCTCTTCTTCATGGCCTATGCCATGGTTCTGCTGGGAAACCTTCTCACCATTGTGACAGTCAGGACTAACCCCAAGCTGTCCTCACCCATGTACTTTCTCCTCTGCAATTTGTCCTTCATAGATATCTGCTCCACCTCTGTCACCTCTCCCAGGATGCTGGTGGACCTGCTCTCCCAGAAGAAGACCATTGCGTTTGAAGACTGTATAGCCCAGCTGTTTTTTCTACACTTTGTTGGGGCATCAGAGATGTTCCTCCTGACTGTAATGGCATATGACCGCTACACTGCCATCTGCAAGCCCCTGCACTACCCAGCCATCATGAGCCGGCAGCTGTGCTGGGTCCTGGTGTCTGTCTGCTGGGCAGGGGGCTTCCTCCACTCCATTGTCCAGACGTTGTTCACAGTCCAGCTCCCCTTCTGTGGCCCTAACACAATCAACAACTACCTCTGTGACCTGCCTCCTGTCATTCAGCTTGCCTGCACAGACATTCGTGTCACTGAGTGGCTCAAGGCTTCCAGCAGCGGCTTAATATGCCTGGTTTTCTTCCTGGTGCTGGTCACATCTTACACTTTCATCCTGGTCACAATCAGGGTTCGCTTCACTCAGGGGCACTGGAAGGCGCTATCCACCTGTGCCTCACATGTGATGGTTGTCACCCTCTTCTTTGTGCCCTGCATCTTCATCTACCTCCGGCCCTTTTCTACCTACCCCTTGGACAAGTACATCTATGTGATCTACACTGTCGTCTCCCCGGTGATGAATCCCCTCATCTATACCCTGAGGAATAATGAGGTGAGGGCATCCATATGGAAATTGTGGAAGCGTTGCAGATTCTTCTGAGACAAGCTGGGTTTGCAGCAAACCTGGAGTACTTTCCTACAGACTAATGGCAGACTGGGGCATGGGAATAGGGTTGGAATCCAACATGCAGGGCAATATCTGAAATCCAAAGGATGTTTAGTTGCAGTTAAGGAATTTACCTAACCTTGGCTTCTTCAGAGCTGTAGATTTCACTGGTATTCTTCTCTGTTTTGTGGGCTTTAGGTCCCCTTAGTCCATCTATGGATTTTTCACTGCTGCAGGACAGATGAGATACTTTTAAGGTTTTTACTACCGACATAGCTTTGCAATCACAATTGCAGTTTCTGATGACAATTACAACATCCTTCTCTGCACCCTCCAAGAGAAGTCAGGAGGACCAAACTCTTGAGTACAGACTAACAGCACGAGGCAGTGAGATTTGCGATGCAGTGAGTGAATTAGAAGGCACGAGGCAGTGAGCTTTGCGATGCAGTGAGTGAATTAGAAGTTTTGCCTGGGCAGAGCTCAGATGTTTGGGATGAAATTCTAAGGGGAAAGGAATTATGCTCTGGAATACAGTAGAGTCTAAACAACAACCATTTGAGCACTGGATCTGCATGAGTGGGCAACGTTGAGCAGTCTCTGATCGTTGCTTGGAAAGACGAAACCACCACAACACAACAGAACTTGCACTGACATTGTTACTGTTCATTAAGAAACATGGAGAAATTTATGAGCTATGGATAATTCTTTTCCCTAAACTACAAATCAGAAAGACAGTCTTTGTCAGTGTCTTTTTTCTCCCCCTATTGTCTTTGCTTTTGTATGTTTGTTTCCATGATGTTCCTCTGTTTCTCACAGAAATGGATAGTCTGTTCCCATCACCGCAGCCATTTCTCTGCCATGGCAAGTGATTACAACCTGTTCAAGAACATTTCAGACCCTTTCTTAAGATATTACCTACTGTTACCACAAAAACCTGGTTAGAAATGAGTCCTGGAGCCCGAGTGACTCCTCTTTCCATGTTGTTGGTGAAAGAATAATTTCCTCTACTTCAGCTCTGGACCCATTAGGTATGTGGAAAAAAACACTGTGCTGTCCACAGCGTCTGGCTTTAGGCCTCTTAGGTTTGAGGCTGCTTCTTGGTTTTTGGACTGCTTCTTATAGGCATTTTCTGAATTATCTGAAATAACAGCGACAAAGTCAGTTTATATTTAAAACTAGGCTTGCATTTAGCAAAGCGTCGCTTCAGGACAATGTGGAACTAGGATATTACATCTAGGAATCCCAGAATAGTCTTATTCCAGGTTTGGTGACTCCCAGCACTGTAAAAGTAAAAAACAGCTCCAAAAAGACTTGCATCAGGTTAACAATGGAACTTTTACGGGTATGTACAGACAATGGGAGATCAAAGGTCTACAGGGAAATCTGGCGAATAACCCAGTCCTTACCAGAGAGACCTACAGGCAGTTACCCAGCAGCTTCTGCTTGGGTCATACAAGAACTGCTGAAATGCACCCCGAGGTTATTTCCCAATTCGGAAAGCAAGCAACTCTGCCTGTGTTGAAATCCGCTGTTCTAGCAGAATTGACCAGGAGCTATGACAGAATGATTGTTCTTCTGTCATGGAAATGGGAAACAGGTCTTTCACCACTAAGACCTGAAAAACACAAGTTTCATACTAACCAGTGTAACTGCTGAATTCCCTCCCTGAAGCAAGAATTAGTTGGGTTTGGTTGGGTTTTACTTTTTGCCCTTAATGTGTGTTATATGTCAAAGACCTTTCTCACCTCAGCCCCACAGGGTAGCAGGGCTACACCTGATACAATCGATATTTCAGGATACGTGAGAGAGTGGTGGGTTATGTTTATATCCAGTCGCTTGGATCCCCCAGTTTGCAGGACAAAGTGTGGGGTTTTTGCTTTCTGCACTTTAGCTGTCTGTGATGTAAGGTATGTGCTCTCAGAAGTGATCGGCTTCACCTATGCTGCTCAGCTGATCTCCTTTTCCATTAAAAACGAAGATCTGTGGATCCTCGGGGTTGAACACGTCTGTTCTGAGAGAAGATGAACAGTGCCCAAGAAGTGCTTTTTTTTTTTTTTTTTTTTTTTTTGACCATGAAGGAAGCTGAGACTGTTGAGAACAGGTGGACTCACTTCTGGGGCAAATTTGGGTGAGATAAATGAATGTGTTTATCCATATTTGGAACAACTTGGGACAGCCTGTTGCTGAAGCTTACAGCTAGAATCAGGCTCAGCAATTTGAACAGAGCATGTTTTATACCTTGCTGTCACCACATTAGTATACAACACAATGGTGTAGTGTTCACTACAATATAACACAAGATAATACATCATCAACAAGTAGCAGCAGTAAACAGTAAATATCACAAGGTCCAGTATTCACAAAAGATAAGCTCTTCAAATTACGGGTATGTATATGACTGGTAATATTAAAAATAAATGTTGAAAACCTGAAACTTTCTCAAGAGTTTCACTTGCGTGGGGTCATAATTTTCAAAGAAATAAAGCCATTTCAAGAATTTTCTCTCTCTGACGCGCTGTTACTGTGCTTTGCCACCAGATGGCAGAGGCACATACGCTGAGTGTATGCAAATACACACACTGAGACCGAGGTTTACAGGTAAGTTGAAGACAGTGGAGATTCTGTTTGTAGGATTTTCTTCAGACATATAAGGGTGCGAATTTTTTTAACCTTTTAGAACATAGACGTAATTATCTCGCACAAGCGAGTTATTACAATCATACAAGGGACAATATGTAAAGGAAAAAGTGACACAATCCAGCGTTCTGTCTGGGGAGAAAGCAACAGTGTTTGGGCAAGAAGGCATTTTGAAATTCGTGATCTGTAATAATGGATCAAAGTCAAACTATGCCAGCTGACTGGCTAGGCAGCTGGCTTAAACGAAGTAGAAATAATTTAAAATATTTATGGATCAGGATCACTTAAGGCATTGTCAGAAATGACTCATCGGGTGCCAAATGCTGCATCAAAACCAAGGACTAACAACTAGATCTCCAGCTGATACAAGTGAGCACAGCTCCTGCGAAGACACACAGCTGAGGTGTAGGTTAGAGGAAATCACCCCATAACACACAGAGGCTGGTCATCTGGCGTAAATGTGCTGTATTACACTGATGGTTTCCAGCTCTGGTGAATCTCCACTACCTCTAATAAAATCCCTGAGCAAAATAGTGCTCTATTACAGTAAATTTTCCAGATCTTCTTGTGTTGTAGTGTGTTAACGTGTCCACTGAAGATACTGGGTAAAAACATTTGTGGTAAAAGTAACCACCTATAAATTTAATCCTCCACACAGTGTAAGCACAGTTACGGGAAGCAGGTGGAAAAGTCTTCAGCTGTTGGAAACCAACGCAAGTCTAATCAGAGCCTGTGGTCCAGCAATTAAGGAATTGAACTGTATCCACCCTTGACTTAAATCAGGGGCATCCACAGGTCAGAGCTGATGCAAGCTGTTGGGGTAGGTCTGTGTCTAAGGCAACTGTGAGCCGTCTGCAGAAAAAGGTCAGAGCTTCTGCTAGCGAGGATTGCAGTCAGAGCATGAGCGGGCAAAGCCACAGTGACAGCCCTCGGCCAAGTGTCTCAAAGCTTGGGGTGGCCTCTGTACCCTAGGAACGCTGCTGCAGCCCCTTGCATCCAGCCCGTGCAAGCTGGCAGTGGCTCCTTTGCTCCTGTAACTAAAAACCCGGCTCCTGTCGTCGTTCAGTCTCTCAGGAAGGCTGTGTGCGTTGACAGCGTCTGTTAAGTTAAAACTGTTGCTTCAGGATCAGTAGATTTTGAATTGGGCTGAATGGCCCTGCATGTTTTTCTGGGTGAAGGTAAGGACACAGTTTGGGCAGCAGGATCAGAGGAGATGGGATGGGAGAGAGAGTCCTTCTGGTCAGAGAGGCAGAAGGGGTGTAACAAGCCACCTTCGCTGTTTCTGTTACTGTTATTCACAAACCTATTCACAAATCCAGGTTTAGATATTCATGGGTTATTAATGAGTTTTAAGCTTTTCTGCTGTATAGTGTCAGTCTCCATTACCTACATCCTCACAATGAAATTGGCCTGCAACATGCTTGTTGGCCTCCCCAAAGACATAGAGACTTGGCACATCCACTCTAAATCCTTTCTCAGTGCTAGTATTGCTTTGTGCTGAACTTGCCCCTGGATGGTACAGTAGAAGTAGTAAATCCAAGAATGTTTTTTAAAAGAGGAAGAGCCAAAGCAAATGCAAAAGGGGGGGGAAAAAGTGAAATTTCAGTGCTTAACCTAGAAATAATTCTGCATTTATGTCTGCCATGCCAATCTTTAAGCATGCAAGATTTATCAACTGAAAATAATTGGTAATGTAATTGTCTCCCAGGAACAGATTATGGGAAAAAAACCTCCAGATCTGCACGGGGGTGAGGGCAGACTGAAATCGCAGAGGCGACTGTACCGTAAAACTGAAGTGGCTCAGCTGGATTTTGGGGAGAAGACACAGAACAGCAACGGTGTTGAGTTCAGGAGCATAACCATCCCTCTGTGCAAGCCAAGGGCATGGAGAGGAGTTTATCTTGGCAGTTTCTGATCACCTCCCTGTCTGTTATTGCCCAAAGTGAGATGAGCTCTAGCTCCAGGTCGGACAGTGCTTTCTGCCTTTGCCAGCACTCGCAGTCTGCACCACCACCTGCAGAGGCCAGCCCCGTCCTCCTGCTGCTTGGCTACATCCTGCCCTCGGCTGCACTTCTTGCTCTCGCTTTGGGCCCTTCCTTCAACCAGACTCATGCCTTCTCCATCCTTGAAGGTATTCAAAACCTGGCTGGACACAGTCCTGGACAGCCTGGTCTAGCTGACCCTGCTTGAGCAGAGGTGTTGGACTGGATGCTCTCAATAGGTCCTTTCCAACCTCCATGATTTCATAATTCCATAACTTGTGTTGAGAGAGTCCTGAAGAGGTGGAACTTACTGCTCATTACCAAGGAGACAGGAAAAAAAGGGACACAACTTCCAGTTTTGGGAGGGGACTCTTC